GTACAGCAGCTTCCAAATCAATAATTTCGAACTCTTCGATTGTCGTTTGTTCATTTAATTTTTCTACCCCATTCTTTTTTTGTTTGGTCGTACAAGCTTTTAAAACACCCAAACGGTAAAGTTTTTGGACCATTGATTCTGCACAATCTTTACTGGCTGCTCGCTTAGTACAGCCAGTTCCACTTGCCGAGACGCTACATTTCAATTGGTCTACGAAAAATTTTATTTCAGCTCTGAATAGGCTACAGTGACGCACGCAGGCGTACTTGTAATCTAAAGGCATTTTGTGTCTTATCAACAAGCTATGCAATTTATTTTTCGCATTTTCAATCGTCCACTTGCCATATCCGCAATTTACATCAACAGGCTTCAAATTTTTGTTTGCCGATTGATTCTCGATTTTCGTTTCTTTAAGAAAGAGAGGCGTTTTAACAGCGCAAAGCCTATGTGCACTAGCTTCCGTGGCAGCAAGCTCTACATCCAATTGTCGTTCGTTAGCGACTGCATCTTTTACCTAAATTGGAATAAAGAAATCAATAAGAATATACGACAAAAGGCAATAATTGTACAAAGGGTTTTTTTAAGGGCAATTCTTAAGAATATTGGTAATACTATCTTGGTGAGAGGTCTAGAGCAATTACGCAGGGCCTTAAAACAATACTATACAGAGGTGGTCACCGAATGGGACTATTTTGATAAAAGGTTTATGCCTTTTTTTTACTACTCTTCCACTTTAGCATTAAAGGAAATCCAAACGAAAACTCCAAAAGGGAAGATGCCCTTTATGAAAAAGCCATTCTTATAATAAAAAAACAAAAAAAATTTAATAAAAATATTTACAGTCAACCCTGTTCTTTTCGCATTTGGCTGCTCTTGAATTCCATTCATATTAGGTTGTTTGATTTTTATTTGCTTAAGGCTACCATTAAATGCTTCAATAAGTCCCAACGAATACAGCTGCGTTACAAGAGAAAGGCAACATAGTTTACTGGCCAATTTTTTGTTCGAAGCAATTTCTCGTGCAAGGAGAGCGAGTTCTGGATCGCTTAAGGAAATTTTCATTGTTAATACATAGTTTGTGGAGGACCCTGCAGGCACGGGCATGAAGTTACAATCTGGTGTAATATCTTTCATTTCCATAAATTGATACAATTTCGATTTCGCTATTTCCACAGTCCAGTTACCATTCATGTCAGTATATCTTTGCACAACTAACGGCCTTAACCGGTCGTCAGATATTACGAAAAAACAAAACTGCTTTTCAATTTTCGGTGCAAGATGATGTTGGAGTCTTCTTTCGTTTTGCTATAGGGATCTCTGAAGCAAAATCTAGTCTTGTCATGACCGAGATTATTAAAAAAATTATTTACATCATTTTAGTAAGAAGGAACTGATACTTTTTAAAAAATTTCTTAATATATTTTTTTTCTTTTAGCAGATTCGAAAGCTATTGTATATGACAAGCAGAAAAGAACTGAAACGAGAATGCAATATATTTCAAGTTTAAATATATAAAATCAAGGATGATATGATATATTATACACAAGTGTTTTGTATATAGGACTACGCAAAGTGGATTATGTTGATGACGTACGATTTCTCTCAAATTTAAAACGTGTTCGCGAAAACTGCATACCAATCCGAGCATTTTTTCTCAGATTAATCCAGTTAAAAAGAGAAAATCGGGTAGAATCGTAAACGACGGAGGAAAGAGAAAGAAAAAAAGAAATAGGGAGGTGGTGACCGCCATCGCCTAATGGATGGGTGCTTAATCGACAAGTGCTATAGCATATTATCGAATATTACGCCCATAAAAATAGAAGGAAAAGTGAATGGCATAATTTTGATTGAAGCTATAAAAACCTTCCAAATAATATTCAATATTGTAGTCAGGTAAATACATTTTTTTTTTTGGATATACTGTAATTGCATGAATGTTAAAATAAAAAACATTGCAGTGGGATACTGCGTACCCTTAAATACCCTACATTACTTCGTTTTATGCAGTGATTTTCATAACGGCTTTTCAAAATAAGTTCATATATTGGAAATAGTCAAAACAGCGATCTGATCCGAATCATATTCGTTCTTGGGCCCAAAAATGTCGACGTACTAGATTTCAGCAAAATATCTTAAAAATTGCGTAATGAAAGTTGAATACAAAAAGACAAGGTGGACGGACGGAGGAACGGACAAAAGGACAGAGGAAAACGTGACTCTGAATCGATCGTTATAATAAAAGGCAGACTTAGCTCAGTTCATTCTCGGCGCTGCGCACATCTGGGCAAACTTAATATACCCTTGTGCGACCAGTTGGGTAGACTGTATTTTTATTATTTTATTATAATTTATGTGGTTAGAGAAATAAATGCTAAGACCGAAGTCTTGAAACACTAGCATCATTTATTGAAATCTCTACCGCACTTGAGATTTCAAACTATGGCAATTGACTTGTTAGTCCCCTGGTATACGTGTGCAATTGCATTTTGATGTTATACCTTGAACATGTTGCAACGATAAGGTATCGTAAGACCAACATATATCGCAAGGCAAAAATGCTTTTTCTAAAAACAAAAATGCTATATTTTTTGGTCGTTTTTTTTGCATCGCGTCCTAATTGATGATGAATCTCAGGCGTAAAAAAATCTAAAGGGATATTAATGCTGTAATGAACTGTAGTTACAAAAATTGAATTTTTTCAGTTTAATTTTTAAAAAAAAGTAATTGACGTAACAATGTAATAAAAATTAATTTTTGTTAGAAGTCTTTTTGCACTTGATAAAGGAAAATAAAAAATTCGTTACTATAATGAACCTTAACGCCACGAGAAAAAACTTCGGCAGTTAATTTGATGTGAAATGCTTCTATTGAGTATAAAATTGAATTTTATCGCATTTTTTAGTCAAATTGAATTTTTATTTAAAAAAATTTGACAATGTATTGCACCTATATAACAAAAGCGTCACGTTATTAGTTGTACTAAATTACCGCGTAGATCAGATTCTAATAGCTGGTTAAGTACCTTAGCGGCTGGTCAGTTAATTTGCGTTACACGCATATAATTATTGATTTTTCTTGCATGAACAGATTAATGACGAGATTATTACTTACTTTCTATATAGAAATGTCGGCTCATGTTAGAAATGTATGTACAAGTTATTTTAATTAAAAAGGACGCTCTTTCTTAGCCGCTCTTTAAAGCGTTCAAGATAAAAGAAAGTTTCTTGTATCTTCTTTGATATTGCTGGGATACTTGCAATTAACATGTCAGTTCCCTCACCAAGCCTTTGACTATGCGGGATTAAGCAATTATCCATTTTGAGTTATTTTTAATTGCATTCATTACAAAATCCATTCAAATAGAGTTTCTACTTATGGTCTCTTTTATTATTGTTCAAGAGTTTTATCCGCTTTTTCGACGATTTTTAAATATTCTATTATCCATTGACCAACCAATTCACACGAGCATATATGTAATGTTATTAAATTCAAAATTGTCCCAATTAAAAATACATTTATCCGGAATAATTGATTTTACTTTAATTATTAATATATCTAGTGCAAGCGGATACAATGTTTCCCAAATTTTACATAGAAATTCCAAATAGAAACAGTATGCGTTTTCTTAACGAATTGTAAACCAAGAAATCGATTTAACCATGCCTGGTGGTTGTAACCACAACTGTCATCTCTCAACTTGAGGAGAGAATAAACTTGGTTTAGAATTTTTCCCTATCGTTCGTGTAATGATTGAAAACCAGGGGGTAGTCATGTAAGCAAGCGATTGTCGCCGTGATTATCGTCTTGTTTTCTTCTTTTTTTTTTTCATTGTCCCCAAATGGCTAATCATGTGCCATTGTTGCCAACTTTCCAATACGTTCCGTCAAATTTTCCATTACAATGCGTTAATAGATGAAAGAGGCGTAAAATAATAACCGCACAAGAGTCTATTATGTATATTCAAAGTGTCCTAACGACTTGTGATGAAATGAAATTAAAAGTCAAATATAACTCCAAGCTAATTCAACCTATTTTTTTAAATCCTCTGAAGGTCATGTGCTTAACATCAACTGACGGGTTCTGTTAGTTAATTCATTCAGCCTATGGCTTATAAATATAAGCTCTGTAAACCCGAATATAAATAACGTTTTTACAATATTTCATTTAATTATTCATGTCATGTTATAACCCGCTAATCTGACCGAATTTATTTTAAAAATCTAAAGCCTTCGTACGAATATAAGTCCCGTTTGCGTATAAACACATAAACATGGCTATTGTTCAGAAATAGAAAATTTGTGGAATATACGAAAGTTTACATTTATAGAAATGCCGAGAAACAACACTTAATAGGAATCCATTGCGGATACTTATGTTTTAATCATCTTGGCTTAGATGCAGATAACCAGTATACAATAGAGGAAAATAAAGCTATAATTGCAATAGGTAAAGAAATTTACCGCTATTTACACTAAGTAGAAAACATACACCCGTCGACCATAGAGAATACGTATAATGGATAATGAATAAAATAAATTTGGAAAATTTTCGGCTTTTATGAGATTTCCAGAGATTCCCTTGACAAAGTCATAAAGTGTTTTGCGTTTGTGAATAATATAACGACGCAAGCATTGAGAACAATGGTAGAAATTAAATATTTTCGTTACTTGGTGGTTGACATGGGATTTTCACAGCAACAATTTTTATAATAGATTTAGATAGTGGGCAGTTACCTGTTTTCGAGGCTTTAGGGCATACTCAAGATCTCTTTGAAATTTCGTACCCTTGCGAATTCTTTAAAAGGAAAATATAATTTATATAAATATTCTTTAAATTTGCATGTGCACAACAGGTAATGAATGATATTTAGGTTACAGATTTAAATTTTTCTATTTATGTGGAAGAATTTCAAATAAATACCGAGTTCAACTTTATTAATCAGTGTTTATAAAATTATCCATCGAAGTGAGGAGAACACGTTTTACTTAAATTCCATCGAGATGAGCAACGATAATAATTTGAATATCAGCAAATTAAGAGAACATATTAACAGGCTCGAACGATTCTTAAACGTTTGGGAGCAGTTGGATGAAGAAATCTTAACTTCAACTAACAGTGCATCTAATGATGACAACGGCCGCTTATTAACTGATCGTCACGAAATTTTGGAAGCGATGGAAGATGTTTGCAATGAATTTTCAGGTGATCTGAGGACTAGTCAAATTAATATGTTACCCAGCTATGAATATAATGTTGATAAATCCTGTGACAATCAGGCCTATTGTGCGGTCTGCATTAATGATCTGGTTTCAAAGGAACTTATACGCAAGTTGCCATGCGGTCACAATTTCCACGCTGAATGTTTAGACAAATGGTTGCAGTCACATGAAACTTGTCCAATGTGTCGGACTCGTGTGATTGACGGGTAAACTGGGCTATTATGTCCGTCGGCATCGTTTATATTTTTTGAAATCTGTAACGTGCGAGATCGTAACACAATAAATTGTGATACATCATGCCTGCCGCGTTACGCCTAATCTTGATGCTTTTGTCATAACATAACTCTCGATTTCGTAAGTATCTACAATTACTTTATTAATAAGACAATTTTCGTTTCTTAAAATTGTAAATGCACGTATTTTGAACAGAAAGCAATACAGACTTAACCACATTTTTGTAGTAACAGAAAAAAAATCTTTTGTTTTTATTGAGAGGTAATACAAATCGATTAGAGTAAAACAAGGCGTTTACGAGAAATTTTTTGCAATGAAAGGCAAAGTAGTAGAGTGTTTGAACATTCGAAAAAATCAGTATACATAAGCTATATTATAAACAAATATAGTTAACGAAAAATATATTTTGAAAAATATTAAAAGACGACGAACTCTCATTTGAAGTCCCCTCTGTAAGTGGCGTACGTAAGTGTATAGGAAAAACCATTTAATCTGCACGCATGTAACAGGGAAATAGGGGACTCCAAGAACATTGATTTTTGTGTGATAGGTGAGTGAGTACTTGAAAGATAAAATTCAATTTTAATGTTTCGTGAGAAAAATATTTTACTCAAAGTATATTGAAGTCTTGTCAGCTACACTTTTGCTCACTTTTCTGACAATTCGTGTCCCAGGTTAAAAACTGTTGCTCCTTTGAAGTAAAGCGATTCATCAAAATAAGTTTTTACGCAGCAAACAGTTCTATGAATCAAATTGATTAATTACTGTGGGTCGAGTTCGGAATTAACTGTTTCACCAGACTTTCATAGCTAATAAAAGACCACACTCTTCTGGTGTTACTAAACTCAAAATATGATACCACTGCCAAAGCTCGGTCGGTATGAGTGGTACGCTTGGATCGGCCCCATAACTTATTACTCTTGTAAATAGATTCGGTAAGATGCGATGCCTGAAAGCCCTTCTCTTTGTGGCGAAGAAACAATGCTATCGTCGAGTGCTGCTTATTTGGCATTTTTCCATTGCAATATGTGTATATATGCTGATGCCATTGTTTATTGTTATCAGATATGGAAGCTATTAAAAAAGTGTAACACCAGACATATATGTCCATTACTCGTTTTACATAAGTTATTTTGTTGAAGAACTTACGGTTGTATTGGTAAAGATACAATTCAAATCGATCTGTAAAGTGAGCAGAATGCTCAAGCTACATGAGATATTTGTTCCATTTTGCTTAAGTTTGAAAACAAATCTTCATTAAGAGATTAGAGTTAGAGAAAATCGATTTTCCAAGAAGGTCGTCTCCAAACCTTACTGATTATTAAATTGGCATTAGTTTTAAACGTCATTAAAATCTGTTAAGATATTGACTGACCTGTTTATTGCAGAAGTGATTAAAATATATGATGTACATTTTTACGTTATTATGACATTCGTATGCAAAGTTTTCCATTTTAAGCCCATTTAAGCACTTTGAAGTAACGCGAATTTTAATCGTACAAACGTGCTTTTTGGTTTGTTTGCTCTGTATTCGATTCGCTCTCTCTTCACCACCATTACATCGTTATTGCATACAAAAAGCATATAAGCGCAGAAGAAAATGAAAACAATGTTAACATGATGTGGACGTTAATGCCGAAAACTACTTTCACATATCAACCAATTTATGGTACATGTTCCTTTTATATATCCATTTCAATGCAAAGCAGTAAAAATGAAAACAAATATGTAAGCGGACACGTAAGTTATAATACCCTTGCGACAACTTCGATGCCAGTTCATCAACAATAGCGGACCACTTGTTAACGATAAATTTGATAGTAAGACGAACTGATCGAATTTTTCAACCAATTTTTTTCGAATATTTGATTTATAACGAGGAAGAGGATCGTACTTCCTTACATTTCGGTAATTGATTTAAGAGTACACTTTATTTAGCATTTAATCATTGCACGACGACAAGATTGACAGATGAACGATTTACAAATTGAGGCTTGTAGTGAAAGCCTACATTTTCCACTGGTATTTATACGTTTCCAAAGGTGCGACCATTGAATACCGCAATCATTGCAATAATGAATCCCGTTTCTTGGTATACGGGAGGCCCTTGTAGCAGCGATGATGTATCGCAGATGAAATTAATCATGCAATGATGCAATGCACTCATAAATGTCCTGAGAGAAGTTTTTGATTAAACTGTCGCAACCTATACGTATGCTTTGTGATGTAAGCAAACAAGTGTAACGATACCACGATTAATCACTAACAAGTTTTCAAAAGGTAAACTTTTTCATAAAAGTTTGCTTGTACTCGCCTGAAGCAAAGTTTCAGTACAAGCGAAAAAATCAAATAATGGATTTATTTGCTTTATGTCTTAATATATTACAAGTTTCCTTTGAGTATTATATATATTTTTTCCTATTGTTATATCCCTTTGCTCTTTCTTCAAATCCTATTATTCGTTTTGTACAAAAGTTTACAAATTCCATTTCTTTGTCATTCACATGAGCGCTCGCTTGTTTGCCTGGATGCATTGACAATCGATTTGCTATGTTTTAATGGCAAAAAAAAAAAAAAAAAAAAATTAAAAGTATTGATATATACCCGCGCATATACGTACAAACATGAGTGGATTAACGTGTAGGTTTGGCGAAAGAATTTGTGAATTCCTTTACGTAGAAAAAATAGTGATAGCTTTGCCGCCCTTCTATCGCACATACGTGTATGCATAAATGTACATTTACTTTACTTATTTTACTTACTTACTTGTTGGAATTTGTACTGATTAACCTTTACATTTATTTTGAAGAAGGGCTCCTTATAAGCTTTGGTTAATATGGCAAATTCCTAGGGTCACCTACTCACTTCTGTAGGGGGAACAGGCTGACATTCCGCAAGGTGTAGGGAAAAAGAGATAGAGAGAGAGGGAGAGAGTGAAATAAAGAGAGTGACAGTGACCGGAACCTGTAAGCCAATCCTGCGGCCAATCGACAGAGCACTCACTGTAGCACCAACCAATTAAAAGATGAGTTGGGTTGAATTCGGTTATGCCGACTTGGTAATCGCACTTCGTAACTATTTGGGCATGTGATAGCCCCCTTCCCTTAATAAGACATTTATTCTATGCGTAATGGATTACACACAGAGAAAGTTTAAGCTTATGACTGCGCATCTCCTTAATAAACCCCTAAGAGTACAACCGATTTCCTAATGTCCTTCTTCTTGTCTACAGCAACCGTAATAAGGATTTTAGTACTTTTTTCAGCAAAAAATGTTCCTTTGAATTTTTTTCACTTAAGATATTTTTTCCTCATAAGAAGACAAACTAGTGTCGGGTGGGTGTTACGCAACTGAAACAGTATAAGGTAATCGCATTTACGACGCGCTATGTTCGCAGTATATAATAAGAGTGGGAGAAATCTCACCATGTGGAAGTGGAGAATATCAAATTGTGCCGACATACCTTTCTGCGATATGTTTGCCTTTTTTTCCGTTTTGTCAAAACTCAATTGCCTTTTTTTACATTGTAAACAACTTATGCTTTCGCGAAATAAAGGCAGAACAACAGATTTATTGAACTTCTTGGCAAATTTAGAACAAAATGAAACAAAAAGAACGTTAACGTTGATTTATCAAGAAAATGCTGACGGAAATAAATTTCTTCTTCTTATTTAAAAGTTCAGTAAAATAAATTTTAAATATACAGAACTTGGCAACTGGTTCTTCTGGTAGATTTCTAACAGGGGCATCGGAATAAGACCGGTTCTCTTTCCCCATGTAGCTTTCTTCTAAAGAGGCCTTCAAACCTGCACAGTTTTGATGGTACGGCACGGCAGTAGTAGGGTGAGTATGTGCTGCACGGATGTCATCTTCTGAAGCACTTTCCTAGACAAACAACTGTGTGCTGAGTTAATTTCTAGAACCTATCAAAAATCCAAAAGGTAAGCGTAAAGCAAGAGGCCAACCAGAGGTACATAGTTCGTTGTAGTGAAAAACAATTGAACTTTTCAGAGATCATTTCACCCACAAAAATAAGTGTGTCTGTGTTTAGTGTGTAAGTGCGTCACGACAGCCAACAGAATAGGTAGCTTTATTGAAACACACATATTTACTACTCCGTATAATTAAATTCCCAACGATGTGAAAAAATTATCTAAATATCGTTGTTTTTAACGTTTTTTGCGCGCAATTCTCGGCGAGCCTTTGCTAGAAGCGTACATACGTTGTGAAAAATGTCTTCGTCAGCAATCATTGCAATCTACTAAGAAAGGGATATCTCGCATAACTTTGAAGTATACACGACGAAGGGACAAGCGGCGGAGAAAATATTAATTGAGCTAACTTTTCATATTAAAAACTTTTAACGGCAAACAACATTTCACTTTTCATATCTTAATATTTATTTATACTCTTATCAAGTAAAGTTTGTCTTCTTTTTGCAATCAATGCCAACTTAAAATCTAATGAAAATTAATTGCTTAACTAATGACTAAATTAAATGCGAACAGAAAACCGGAAGGAAAATATAAAAGACAAATAGTGAAGTTTACATAAATGGTAAGAGAGATAGAAATTTGATTGATCAATTTATCTTAACAAAGCTTCCTTATCTCTTATATAAACAATCGATTAACAAAGCTTCTTCTTGGTTTTGAATAAACTTTTACGTTCAACAGCTGTCGCGGAAAGATGCCATTTGAATTAACTTAGTGAAAACGGCCGATGAATCTTAAGGCGAGATCTTCTTAGCTACAACAAAATGCGGGCAGCTCTAGCACATATAAGGAAAAAAATAATAATAATATGTGTTCCTGCTCTGACCCTCTCACTGAAATTCACTCGTTATGAATGCTCTTAAAAATAAACCAATAGACCACCTGCCCGACCAATCGAACAACGAGAAACGATGACACGAAAGTCCCCATATTCGTGCGACCTGAGACGAGAGATGATGAGATGTTGACGATGAGAAGATT